ACACGATTCCGTGTCAACGACGACCATGAGATCCTGCCCATGGCTGCACAGTACTACGGCCAGCGTGCTTGCGTACCGGGAACCCTCCTCATCACCGAAGCCACCCTGGTCTCGAAACAATCTGGTGGTTACCCTAACGTACCTGGTATCTATACTCAGGCTCAGATCGACGCATGGAAACCAGTAACCAAGGCTGTCCACGAGAAGGGCTCGTACATTTATCTCCAGCTCTGGGCCCTTGGACGTGTAGCGAACAAGGACTTTGCTGCCGCGAACGATATCACCATCAAGTCTTCCAGCGCAACATCCCTAGGCGAGGGATACGCTACTCCCAAGGAGATGACCGTTGAGGACATCAAGCAGAGTATCTCCGACTACGCACAAGCAGCCAAGAACGCCGTCGAGGCTGGCTTCGACGGTGTAGAGATCCACGCTGCCAACGGCTACCTCATCGACCAATTCTTGCAGGATACCTGCAACAAGCGCACAGACTCCTACGGCGGCTCTGTTGAGAACCGCTCCAGGTTCTGTGTCGAGGTCACCCAGGCTGTAGTAGAGGCCGTGGGCGCCGACAAGACCGGCATCCGATTGAGTCCGTTCTCCGAGTTCCAGGGCATGAAGATGAAGGACCCCCTTCCCCAGTTCACAGACATCATGAAGAGACTGGATGCGTTTAACCTGGCCTACCTCCACCTTGTCGAGGCCCGCGTATCTGGTAACGCAGACGTTGAGGGCTACGACTCCCTCGACCCCCTGCTGCCTCACTACACTGGCAAGCTGCTTATCGCTGGTGGACTCAAGGCCGAGGATGCGAAGAAGATTGTCGAGGAGCACAAGGACCGCGATGTCGTGGCCGTGTTCGGACGCTACTTCATCAGCACACCTGATCTCGTTTTCCGGATAGAGAAGGGCATCGAGCTTACTCCTTACGACCGCGACACCTTTTACGTTCCCAAGAGCGAGAAGGGATACATTGACTACCCTTTCAGCAAGGAGTGGAAGGAGGCGCACCCCAACTTGTAGAGACTGCGCAAGAAGATACCCAGTAGCGTTTGCGAGTTTGATAGAATAATTGGACAACGATTTTGAGACGCACTTTTTTTGTGACTGCTCTGCTCTACTTCGGTCTCACGCAATTTCGGATGTAGCCGCTGGCACATCCTCGTACTAACGCATGTCAGCCCCCATCTTTAGTGCCGTTATTGCGCAACCTGCGGGTCCTCAAAACATACAACATCCATATATGCTGGCTCCAGGAACGGAAGTCGGGATGCGCAACGGCATATGGATAAAATAATGCTCAATGGCACACCGAAAGGATGCAGTCAGTTGTTGGTGCCCGGTAAGCACTCGCGGTAACGGTCACAACTGAGCATAACGAGTGACGTAGATGCGAAAGTAGGCAATGCCACATGTTACGTGCGCCGGAGCAAAGCTCGGTAGTAGGTTAATATACATGGCGGGAGCTCATCCGGGGTAATGATCCAAGATCCCTGATCCCGCACAGTTTCTCCACATCATTCCCCTGGTGGCTAACCTCTGTTGGAACAAAAACCTCCATCGCTCGACCAAAGCAGCAGGTACGCCGTTTCAGTCGTTTGTCATTGGAGAAGGAAAAGTGTTTTGAAACAACGCACGCACTCGAAGCTCTCACATGCGCATAGCCGTGCCTCCTCGCTTCGGAACTTTTAGATTGACACCTTAGCATCCGTTTATGTCGGCTAGTATTCACGGGGAAACAAGCTGGATATGTTTAGCTCTGGCGATGATCGCGCGATGAGTGCGGTGTGGGTATAAGAAGGGGAGGAAGGTGCAGGAAACTGTTCGTTGCGGACTCTCACGACACTCACGATGCACTTCTCCACTTCAGTACTCGGCAGCATTGCTGCGCTCTGCGCAACTGCCAATGGCGCCCTTACTCGTGTCAACGACTTCGGAGCGAACCCATCCAACCTTCAGATGAACATCTATGTTCCTGCCAAGGTTGCGGAAAAGCCTGCGATCATCCTCGCTGTACGTCTTCCTACACCATCCACTTTGTGCCGAACGTCCTTCTGACATATCCACAGCTGCACTACTGCGGCGGCACCGGCGAAGCCTACGCCCAGTCAACAAAGTACAACAGCCTAGCCGAGCAAAAAGGCTTCATCAACATCTTCCCCTCCACCAAGAAAGACAACAACTGCTGGGAAGTCAACACCGCCAAGGGCCTCTCCCGCGATGCCGGCGGCGACAACCAAGGCCTAAACAACATGATTCAGTACACGATCAAAAAGTACAATGCCGACCCCACCAAGGTCTTCGTCACCGGCAGCAGTTCCGGATGCATGATGACCAACGTCATGATGGCCACCTACCCGGACGTCATCGCCGCAGGATCATGCTACTCCGGTGTCGCAGCAGGCTGTGTTGCAGGCAGCCCCGGCGCCAGTCCCAGCACCGCAGACCCGCGATGCGCAAACGGCCAGGTTATCAAGTCGCAGGCTGAATGGGTTGCCCAGGTCAAGGCTATGTACCCTGGCTACAGCGGCACTTACCCTCGCATGGCGACTTGGCATGGAACTGCTGACTCGCTCGTCAAGATCCCTAACTTGGGCGAGCAGTTGAAGGAGTGGAGTGGTTTGCTGGGTGTTTCGTTCTCGAAGAACGAGACGAACACTCCGCAGAGTGGTTACACGAAGATGGTCTATGGTGATGGGACGAAGCTTGTGGGTTACAGTGCTCTCAACGTCGGTCATACTGTGCCGGTGCATGAGGCGGAGGACCTCAAGTGGTTTGGACTTTGAGTGGAATGATGAGACTACGACACAATTTGTTAGCCTAGTTTGAATGTAAATATCTTTGAACGTCAGTGTGAATATGAGTTTTCCACCTCTTAATGTTCAAGCGTCAGAAACGACATTCCCGTGCTGTTACTCGCTCGCATGCTGATGCGGATTTGCGAACGCTGGAATGGAGAAGCTCTTGACCAACGCATCCTTCCGTAAACGCGGGACGAGCTGCATAACCAAAATGTTGCCATCCTGTTGCTGTGAAGGTATATCCTTTGAAGTCGCGATAAGATTAAGGGCCCAATATTCCACCTTGCGATCGATATGGCCTTGAATTAGTAGTTCGAAAATAGGGGTATATTCGTGACTTCGTGCCGACCTTCAACTACCTCATGACGGGCGGTCTTGCCTCTTTATTAAATGCCATCCTACTGCACAGCCATTCCACCGCCTCCTGCACACCAGTTCCTGTAAGCGCACTGCAAGGAAGCACTCTGCTGTCTCTCACATTCCCACCCTTCTCTCCCTCAAACACTCTTCTCACAAAGCCCTCTTTGATCCTCACCACTTCAACGCAGTCTTCGCGATCTTGCTTGTTCGCGAGTATCAATATAGGCACGCCGCTGGCATCTTCATTCGCGAGTACGCTCTCCAAGACCAACTTGCACTCATCCAGCCGCCCAATATCTTCAATGCTTGCTGCATTGTTCGCGCTCATGTCGGCTAGCGTGGCGTTGCCTACATCGCTGCTGTCTATAACGAAAACGATGGCGTGACAACTGCTGTAATACGATTGCCAGAGCCCGCGCAAGCTATGTTGGCCGCCGACGTCCCATATCTTGAGGTAGATGGGTGGGTTTGGAGGTGGGAGGGCGATGGTAGCAACGTTTTGGCCGACGGTGGGAACGGTCTTGAGGTTGGGGTGCGAGGCCGAGTAGGTGCCTTTTATCTGCTCGAGGAGCGTCGTCTTGCCGGCATTGTCGAGGCCTAAGAGGAGGACGGAGTACTCTGTGATACGTTAGGTTTAGTGCGGTTGGTGCATCGAGACTTGGGATGCGTACCTTCCTTACTTGTCGCATGGAGATATATCGACTTGAAGAGGTGATACATGGTTTGCGCGACGCGTTATGTCGACGCGCGCTTCACATGTCGGCGAGTGAGGGTCTAAGGCGCGCGGTTGATGGGGAACGTGTCATACCGTCGTTATCGATAAGCCCCAGGCAGGGTGTTCGTCATCTCACCTACAACCTTTCCCCACCACCTACTACAATATTTGCAAGGGCGAGCAAGGCAGTGTAAGTGTTTGAAACGATCAATAGATATATGCATGCTAACAGCCGCAGGAACCCACGGGCGAGCCAAGCAGTGAACCCAAGCTTAAACGAAAACTCCTCTTTTCGACCTCCAAAAGCCACCATGTCTACGCCATCCGCAGCCTGGCCCATCGCCGACACCATCCTGGCCGAAAAGCTTCTGGACCTAATCCAGCAAGCAACTCACTACCACCAAATTTCCAAAGGCGCCAATGAAGCAACCAAAACGTTGAACCGAGGCACCTCCGAGCTCATCATCATGGCTAGCGACGCCGAGCCCCTCGCCATTACACTTCATCTTCCACTATTGTGTGAAGACAAGAACGTGCCGTTCGTCTATGTGCCCAGTAAAATGGCGCTGGGACGCGCGTGTGGCGTCGGTCGCTCGGTTGTGGCAGTCAGCCTCACCAGCAATGAGGCGAGCGATTTGATGGGACAGATTAGGGCTATGAAGGATGCGGTGGAGAGGATTGCGATTTGACGATGATGAGCGGGTCTGGAAATGGCTCAGCTCTGAGTTATTGAATGCTGGTACTGGCCTGGGATGGAGATGGGGGTGAACGACTAGGTTTGCGCGAGGCGAGACGCATGGTAGATTCGGAATACACTCTTTAGACATATGAATGCCAACACTTTCTCCGGATGTCGGTCAGTCTCCGAATGGCTTTGATCTTGTCTTGCAAGATCATTCCGTCCTGTCTTTCTCCGCTCCGCCATGTATCAATGTTGGCACTCCATCAGATACATCGTCGGGAGAAAGGACGTGGCAGGATAGTAGCACGCTATGAGATCTATAACACGTCAAGCAGGACGGAAAAATCAACATGAGCTTTACCGGCTACATTCGTATCAAACCCAAAATCCGACAAGGTGTTGAGGCAATGTAGGCTTCCGAGTACATTTCCAGTTTTTCTCATCAATCCTCCACCACTTTGTAGCCCTCAGGGTTCCTGGCGACCAGCCACGCCCATGTCTCATGATCAAAGGTGTCACGTCCTGCTTTCCATAGACCGTCTGGCATCTCCAATGGGTTACGACCGAGTGAACCTTTGATGTGGTTCTCCCAGCGCAGCAAAAGTTCCGAAATCTTTTCGAGATAGAAACGGTTGGTGTTCTGCATTTTCTTGAAGACCTTGTCGTCCTTTCTGGAGCTCTTTTTGATCGGTCTCTTCGCCATGGCGTCATGGAGAGCGATTCGAGGGGTCTTACCACTTCCATCCAAGAGTGTTGGGTCCGCGTTACATCTAAGCAGAATGTCAATTAGGGCGTAATGACTGAAGTCCAATCCATTGTGGACCCTCGGTGCACTACACAGGGTGCGCAAGAAGTCGGACAAGACATCTCGGTGGGCATATACCGCCAGTAGCATGAAACTCGCGAGATTCCCTTCGTGACGAAACGAAAGTTCACGTGCACTCATCAGGTCCGGCTCTGCTACGATGGTCCCGCGTATCAGAAGAGTCTCGAGGTATCTCAGTCTTCTCTTTCGCTTCTCAACGACCTCATCCATGCCCTCCGAGATCGTAAACCTTAGGAGTGAGTGTCCTCTCTTATCTTTGACATTCAACATACGCTGCAGCATGTTCTTGTCTTTTTCCGTCGCTATCAACTTCTCCAGGTCCTCTGTTGACGCATTCGTCGCTGTAAGCACCACCTCAGACCAGTCGTGCGCGCCCCGAGGGCTCAATGCAGTTCTGATAGCATCTTTATGTCCTTCAACTTCGTCATCTAGGTTACGGGTCGCTGGTACTTCGAAGGCAAGGATTGATTCTAGCTCCTGTGGCTCAATCGTGTAGTCATCTCGCAGGATATCTTCCCATATGTTGTTGGCTGCTTGCTGTGAATGGGTCATGGGGAGCACCGCATGACATATCGATTGTCGAAGAATTGCGGGGATATCAATTCCTAGGTCTAGCAGAATGTCCAAAGCTTCGGCGTTACTGGTTGTAGGGGAACCCATAACTTCATCGATTATGTCAGTACGTATAGAGTCGATAGGCTCTTGAAGGTGATCCAGCATAATCTCTAGGTAGCCACCGGCCAATTGAGACTTCCAGATCATGTCGAAGATCTTGCGGGCATTAGGTTGTCTTCTTGATGTAACGGTAGGATCGACAAGCCCATAGGCAGATTTCTGTTTACCCTCGTCTATGGCAAAGCGCAGTGGAGTCGATTTGGAGGTCTTTCCCGTCGTTATCTTCAGCGCTCTCCATTCCGGCCACAGATGCTGTAAGATCTTCAAGAGTCCCTCCCTCTCATTTGCGATAGCCAGTTTGAATGCTCGAGTAACGGCTGCTTCGGTTTCTTCGTGCCCCTGTGGGAGTTCACCCATTATCCACTTCACGGCCTCGTGTGCATTTGCGCTACACGCGATCTCTAAAGGGGTTTCGCCAGCTAGATTTTGGAGTAAAAGAGAGTCTCGGCTGTATATATCGTCATCAAAGGTGAAGCGCGTTCTCATCAAGATATCGATGTCGTTATTGCGGGCAGCTAGATGGATGGGATAGTCACCCTCCTCATTGCATCTATTTGATGGGGCTCCATGAATCAGACAATCGAGGACGAGGCCAGGCTCGGTCGAAGTAAAGCTTTTCATCAGTTTTTCCCAAAGCTCTGTTGATACTTCTTCAGTCAGGTAGAGAGGCGGATCCAGGATTCGTTGCAGTTCACCTTCGTCTACTAAGAGATGGTCCAAGTAGTCTAATCCCAGATGGAAAGGCCACCATTTCGCGTTCCAAGGCCAGTGCTTCCATGCCTTCCAGCCGTCTGGGGGATAGGCCTCACTGATTGATTGCCCACTGAGCCCAGGAGGCTGTGCATCATTATTCCTGCTCTCAGCAACGAACAGCCTATAGATTGCGTATATGACATGACCGACGGCAAATATGGCGATGATGGCGTTGGCACTTTGGCCCCACTCGGTCATCAAGGCAAGCCATGACTGTTCGATAGTGTTCGTTCCGCGCAAAATGTTGTAGATAGATAGTCCATGGAGTAGTACGAACGACCCGTAGATCAGATAACTCGTCGCTAAAGTGGCGGGTAGAGACCTCCATAGTGCTGTGGCTTTGACTCGTGAGCTTTGTGTATTATTGTTCTTATGTTCAATCTTGTTCAAGTCCGACGTGAGACGATGGGCTACCGGGATTGGGAGTATCGATGCCACCACCCGGAGGGACCAGTAAACCCAGTAGAATGTCGAGTAGGATTGCGGCAATGCCTGATTCGTTGTAGAGGAGTTACAGCGGAAAGTGTCACGCCGCGAGTATTCATCGAAAGCCGCAGCCTGTACGCCGTAGGCAACGAGCTGTGTCAAGAATCCAAAAAAGACCAGCTTCCGCGCAGCGAGCACATCCTTATCCGAGAAAGCCATGGACATCGAAGCACTGACCGCATCAACACTGGATATGGCAATACCAAGCTCTTGAGCGTTTAATCTTCTCATCCCCTTGGCAAGATTGATTGTGAGATAAAACAAGTCTATGCTGTGTTAAACCCGAAATACGCTTCAGTGTTCTTCGCAACTTACTCGCAAACTGAGCCATGCAAAGCTCTTTCGCACCTGAGGTATGTGCTGTGAAATGACCTAAGATTAGTACCAGGAGGAGTACAAGACAAGGTAGAAAAAGGCCAAGCAGGACACCAATGCCCCCAACATCCGGGTTAATTTCGTTGTTTTCTGGCAAACAGGCTTCAGATAGACTGTTCCTTGGTAACAGTATAAGAACAAAGGCAATTATAGCCAGTATCGAGCAGACGACCGGTCCCACTCGGAGATGCCAGGCACGCTTCCTTGATTTAGCTTCTTCGACAATTTCGCCCCGTAGGCGTGCACTGTCCAAGTAGACAAAATGAACGGTGTAGGCAAATGCAACAACGCTCGTGGTTAAGAGGAAGATATTCAGGAGGTCCATATCTCGGTACGATTGAGACGACAGGAAGTAAAGAGAGACGTCAGGGGTTGACTTCCGAGGTCGGCTGCCAGAAACCAATCCAAACATATGGGAGGCCGGCCTTTTCAAGCATTATCCAAATTCTGGTCGAGTGCGGCTGAGTGTGCCCCAGCAGTGGCTGCATTTATGGCTGAACGAGTGCATTGCGCTACTGGCACCAGGCGCGGCCAGATCTTGGTTGATGTTGCTGAATACGCACTATTAACTGTTGACAACTGGATACATCCCGAGGCAACGTATTCCTCTACCTAGATAGACATAGAAAGTCCGATCACACATCGATGTCTTGTGAACTGCAACACGACTGGTATACATGCCTGGTGCCGGATGAGGGGTTCGCGGCTCCACCTGGGCAGGGCTGCAGCATCATAGACGATGAGGCGGACTAGTGCCGTAGCTCAGAATGAACAGCGTGCGCCTTTGACTTAGACTACCGTCTGTTACTGGTTCGGGCTGGTCATTGAGAATGTGCATTGGTAAACGGTACCTATGACTGCGATGGCTTTGATGTTGTTCGCTGGAGTCTGGTGCGTCACCGCAGTACCGTGGGTGTCGGCAGTGCCGTAGCTTTCACAGCGGTACAGTATGAGAAGCTCCTACATCTCGATTAATGATCAGGCGAACCGATTCCGTACTGTAGGACCAGATGCCGATGGAATATTTGCCAGCTCAAGGGTGGTACACGTGCCCGACGACACGCATGTGACATTCGAGCTTGGCTGAACGCTAACCTCTGATGACACTAGTGCGTGGAGCCGCATGCAGGCGTGGATATCGAAATGCTCATTGTTCTAGACTGCAAGGGACCTAGCGATCTGGGCGTTCGCGCCTTGTTCTAGCAGCAGCAGATGTCTTTTCTTATGTCGTGTGTCTTGGGTGGGTGTGGGATTGGGACGTTGGGGTGCAGGAGACTACCTTAGTACTACTTCTCCAGCCACAGCTCAAATGACATCATGCTTGCACCGCCACGCTCTGCATCGTAGAATAGTACTAACAGCGACCGTCATTCTAGGCGAATCTTGACGTTGACATTCAGTTGCCGCGGAAGCCGATAATTACGTGCAGCTTGCCTGGGCAGTGGTTATCTTATCTGGAGCAGGGTGAGACATTGGGCGCTAAAGTCATGGATCGCCGGGGAATGGACGTCTAACAGGGTCATCTGCAGCTTTGCTCCCACCCACACGCACACTCAGAGGGGCACGACGAGCGCGGTAATGCATCTTTGCTCTTGCCTAACAGCTGTCATCGTACGGCGGCAGAATCGTGACTTGTGCGGAGAGCCACGTAGTTTGAGCATTTGAGCTGTGACCACAGCAGCTCCCAAAACAAGGTTGAACTACAGATAGTCTGACAGCCTGCCCTTGCCCAACCTCACAGTTCCCTCGCACAGCGACACCACCATGGAAGATCGCACGCCCGCCGCGGGTAAAGCGAAGCCGTCGCCCGACACGTCGCGCCGCAGCAGCACCTATGGCACCGGCAGCGACACGCCCACCCAGAGCGCGACGCCCAGCGACTCGGCGCGCCGACGGCCGCAAGCTGCCATGCAGCCCTCTGGCTACGGTACGCGCATCATCTGGCGGCCCGGAGAGGATATCATGATGCTAACACCGCTGCAGGCTCCATCACGTCCGGCATCGAGCGCCGCCAGCAGGCCGCAGCGACGGCGCACGAAAGCTTGACCAAGCCCAAGAAGCCGCCCATGAGCCGGCGCGCTACGTCGTCGAAATGGCCGCAGAAGGGGCAGGAGTTCAGTGTCGACGACGCCGAAGAGGAGGTGGAGCTGGACCAGGCCCAGCAGGACCAGCAGAAGAAGCAGCGACAGACACTGCGCCGCAAGCCCTCGACCGTCCGCCGCCGCACCGCCGCGCCCCCGCCCAACCTAGCCACCATCGACTCGACCGAAGACGACGAGGTCGAGCAGGAGAACGCCGGCCCTCCGACCGGCGCCGATGCAGACGCGACGCCCTCGTCCAGCGAGGAGACGGTACAAGCAGAGGAGGAGGAGAGCGGAGGCGGCGATGAAGACGACGACCTGAGCGACGCCGAGAGCTTCACGCTGCGCGACCGCCAGGATGCCATCAACGTCACACATCCCTTCGGTATCAGGATCTGGAAGCCCGCGCTTTACAAGAAGGGTCGTTCGGTCCAGCGCAACGCTGAAGAAGACATCCACTCGTCGCCAGGCCTCTTTGTCAGCCGATGGCTGCTTCTCTTCAATCTCGTATGGACCCTCGTATTCGGATGGTGGCTAGCTGCTGTTGCTACGGTGGGTGGTCTGCTGTGCGCGCTCCTGGGCTTCAACGAAAGCTGCAAGGAGTACTCCCATTTGCTTTTCGCCCTGGCCGGCTACCTCTTCTACCCCTTCGGCAAGTACGTCAAGCTCATGCAGGATGAGGCCTACATAGAAGAGGACGAGGGCGAGGGTCGCAGCATCAGCGAGTACGAGCAGTGGCAGAGCGGCGATATCGAAGAAGGACGCCTTTTCTTTGGCCCAACCACCGGAACAAGCTCCTTGATCGGCCGCCGACGCAACAGCGTAGATTCAGCAGGTGGAGAGACGACAAGCCTCCTCGGCAGAGATGGACGAGCCAATGTCAACCACACCGACACCGCCAACACTAAGAGGAGGCTTTTTGGCCGTGGCAAGTGGAATCTTGGCCGCGTCGTCTTCTTCTTGTTCTTCTACGGCTTCCTCACACCCTCGCTGTTCCTCGTCTCAGCTCTGTGCTGGTTCCTCGTCTTCACCATTCCCATGGGCAAGACTACCCTGCTGCTGTTCGACCATCTGCGACGCCATCCCCTGGCGCTCTCGTTCCACTCCGACAACGGCAACGTGCGCCGCCCCGGAGAATCGTCCTCGATCCTGCTCTGTACCTACCGCGCAGTCGGCATCAAGTACTGGAAGTACACTATTGACGGAACCAACATCTTCCTCATCAACCTTCTGGGCCTGGTCGCCTTCACCATCTTCGACTACTTCGTCTTGGCCGAAGCTTTGGAGATGAAGTTCTGGCTGACTGACCAGTTCTTGTTGTTCTCCCTAGCACTGCTGTCAATTATTCCGTTGGCATACTTCATTGGTCAGGCTGTAGCTTCCATCTCAGCTCAGTCCTCCATGGGTGTTGGCGCTACTATCAACGCTTTCTTCTCTACTGTCGTCGAAGTCTTCCTGTACTGCGTAGCCCTCAAACAAGGCAAAGCTCAACTCGTCGAGGGTAGTATCATCGGCAGTATCTTTGCAGGTATTCTGTTCCTACCAGGCCTGTCCATGTGCTTTGGTGCTCTCAAGCGTAAGACTCAGCGTTTCAATGTGCGATCCGCTGGTGTCACTTCCACCATGCTGCTATTCGCCGTCATTGGCGCTTTCGGTCCGACATTGTTCTACCAGATCTACGGAAGCGTGAGTATAGCCCCATTGCACGTCGATCCTGTGCTAACTCTAACCAGCATGAACTCAACTGCCACTCATGCGTGCACTCCAATCACCACGTTCCCCTTGAGCGAGACTGCCGTAGATGTTACTACTCACAAACACCAGCACTCAATGATCGCTTCTACAACGAAGCTGTCAAGCCTTACACCTGGTTCGCGGCTGCTCTCCTGTTCTTCTCCTACATCATTGGTCTTCTCTTCACCCTTCGTACCCATGCTGCGACAATTTGGACGGAGCCAGATGCTCAAGAGAAGAAGCTACTCGAGATGAGCGCCAGCAGTCTCAGTCAAAGCGGCCACATGGACTTCCCACATGCTTCTTTCGTCAGGCAAGCGACAGGAAACTCCATATCTCGTGCGCACATACGCGACAGCCAGCTGTACAAACGTATGGTTAGCCAGACTTTGCAAGAAGTTGGTCTTGGACCTGAACACACTGCATCAGACACCGGTCGGCCTGGATCCAAATCGGATAGCAACACACCGCACATGGTACCGCCAAAAGAGAGCGACGCTGTCTCGCACCACTCTTTCCACGTTGAGGGACTTACAGATGATGCTGCAGAGTCGCTTGCGCGACAAATCACCGAGATCGCGGCAACGACGACCGCTTTGGCGACCCGTGACGTTACCAGGGCTCCACGCAAGGCAGCGCAACTCGCCCATACATCTACCAAAGCGCATGCAGAACGCCCCGCTCACACGCGAACAAACACAGAAGCTGCACCCGAGGAGCTTGATACAGCGACTGGGCATGCCTCTGGTGGGCACGATGCACCAAACTGGAGCCGTCAAAAGAGTGCTGCTATCCTGCTGACTGCGACTGTCGCATATGCCATCATTGCGGAGATTCTCGTCAATACCGTTGATGGTGTTCTCGAGGGCTCTGACATCGACGAAAAGTTCTTGGGTATCACACTCTTCGCATTGGTTCCCAACACGACCGAATTCCTCAACGCCATCTCGTTTGCCATGAACGGCAACATTGCACTTTCCATGGAGATTGGTTCCGCATACGCTCTCCAAGTGTGTCTCCTCCAGATTCCGGCTTTGGTGTTTTACAGTGCCATCCACACTGGGTACATTCCCGCTCAGGACGTTGCCAGCCAGACGTTCACTCTCATCTTCCCGCAGTGGGACATGGTTACCGTCATCCTCTGCGTCTTTCTCTTGTCGTACATGTACGGCGAGGGTAAGAGCAACTACTTCAAGGGCTCTATTCTTATCTTGTCGTATCTTGTCGTCATTGCCGGCTTCTACCTTTCCGGATTCAACGACTTCCAGAAGATGGGCGTCGATCCGATGGACACGCTGGCGCTTGGGGGTTTGGTCGAGCAGCAGGTGCAGTCTATGACATTCAAGACACCTGGAAGAGGTCGCAGTGGCGTGGCGTACTGAAAAGCTTTATTGTGATATTGAGGTATGGAGGGGGATGTTAGAAGAATGTTAATGAGTGTTTGCAATGGGCAGGTTTCTGCACAAAAGGTACATAGCGCAGGCGTTTGAGGAAAACTTTATATTGGGAATAATTAGTTATGAAACGCACAAATAGTGGCAAGACTGCCACGTAATCGGACATGGAGATGCTCTGTTGATCTGTGAAGTATAATTCATGTTGGGCTGCACTCAGGTCGAGCGGTGATTGATGATCAGCTCATGCAGCGTGCAATGTTCCTCCGGTGCGGCACCAGAGAAAGCATATGCAAGAGCTCCTAACTCGGACTGCTGACAGAAACATGATCAGGATGTGCTCGAACATCGTGTTTCGCATAATCGTCTACGTGAAGCCTATAGAATCAAAGAGACATGAAGTCGGTCCGTGAACGCTGCTCAGCCATGCAGGTGACGACAGCTTCACAACATCCTGCGATGGGCGTGCGAAGTCGAGATGGGCGGAGTGAGGCGGGTATATCTTACAGGTCACGATGCGACGAAGTCCGCAAGTCGCAGCGCATGGAGTGGGTCCCCCGGGCGATCCAACGTGGGAGGATTGGAGAGGAGGGTGCGCGCACATGGTGCGGCAGTCTCGGAGTGGCAGATTACAGTGGGTCGCCGGCGTCAGCGGGCGTGTGAAGATCAATCGATACGCCATGGCCGTCCGCGCCTCTCCGTCGAGGCTTCAATCGACCCTCTCTGCCCCGTCTATTTCTATGTCGCGGTTTGGTGTTCGCGCGCGATATGGTAGTGCGCAGTCGCGGGATTTGCTTTGTCGTATACTCGCTTTGAACCGCCTGGGCTTTGCCAAAGACGCGCGACAGCGGAAGCCACACCCCGCGCTCGAGATCTTCTCTCCATGAGGCGTCGGGCCTGGTGTGCTGGTCATCGATAAGGCCGACGGTCAGCCGTTCGCTGCTGAGCGAGCGATATTGCTACCCAGTGTTGCATCATCCACAGCATAGACCCTGAGATGCTGCTCGTGCGACCGCGCCGCCTGCCGTCGCGATTGGCGTGGCTCTTGTTCGCGACCGTCGCCTCGGCCACGATATCCTCGTCTAACACATCTACCGCGCGTACAAATCTTTACGACGGCACTCTGCCGCTCACTAACGCTCAGGGCGACGACGGGACCAGGATAGCCGACCTGATCCCATTGACTAAGGATGCCACCAACTCAGTTCGTCAAACACTATTCGTCGCATCGCCTTCATGCACTGACAAAGCACTAGGTCAAGGGCAATCTGTACAATACCAACTACACCAGCGTCGTCGGCATATCCAATGACGAAATCGCATACATCAGCTGCGACACCACCGACTACAACGGCTACGACACTGCGCAGGGCGTCTTCGAACAAACCTACTTGCAAGGCAATATCTCGGCAGTCATACTGTATAGCAGGACGTCAGACTACTGCAACTACACCCAGGACAAGACACAGGTCATGATGGACGAGTTTGCCATATACTCGATGACGAATAGAGCAGACTCGGCAAAGGTGCGCAACGACATCATCGACATGCCGGCAGCCATGAAGTACTTCGTTCAAGTCAAGGCGCGGGATGAGGGGAACAACGACTCCGGCAACGGCCAGTACCAGCAGAACCCGTTAGGACCATCGCCGTCGACCGCCGTCGCCATGATCATTCTATACAGTATCACCGGCATCATCACAGCCTTGTTCCTCGTCATCATCATCACCGGCGCCGTTCGCGCGCATCGCCACCCCGAGCGATACGGCCCTCGAAACGTACTCGGACGACCAAGGCAAAGCAGGGCAAGGGGATTGGGAAGAGCTATCCTGGATACCATACCCATTGTCAAGTTTGGCGAGAAGGAGCCGGCGAAACCCGCTGATGTCGAATTGGGCTCGACGGCAGAAACACGGGATGTGAATGGCGTAAACACGGACACAGAAGCCCAAGCGAGCGGAGGAACAGCTGCGACCCAGCATGATACCGCTCCAGCTTCTGTGCCTGGTGCGACTGAGACAGCACAGGTCGTAACATCGGACCCCGCGGAAGAGCAGCAATCGGGCATCGCGCCGGCACAACCTGTTGCCGCTGGTGCGACAACGGGTACTGACAATGCTTCACCAGATGAAAGTCTGGGATGCTCGATCTGTACCGAAGACTTCGAAAAGGGCCAGGATCTCCGTGTTCTTCCATGCGACCACAAGTTCCATCCAGAATGCGTGGACCCATGGCTACTGAACGTATCGGGCACATGTCCGTTATGGTATGTTACTCCTCAACCTCACACACACAAACATTGTACTAATGTCTACCAGCCGGGTCGACCTCCGCCCAGTCAACTCGCGCGATTCATCGGGATCGCAAGAAGATGAGCTCGCTCCGCCTCTCAACCCCGAGGGCGACACATCCCACCGTCGCCGCACCGCGCTCTTCGATATCCTGTCCCTCCGTCAACGGCCGAACGCGTCACCCGAAGAGCGTATCTCTGCTCTACGACGACTACGAGAACAACGGAGGAATCAAAGCGGTGATGTCGCAAGTGGCAGTGCAAATGCGAGCGCCGAGGATATCGACGGCGCGCGTGACAGGAGGAACAGGCGTATCAGTGCCAGACTGAGTGATGTCTTCAGCGGTCGCAGCAGGAGAGAAAGAGCTGATGAGAGTTCGACACAACAAGGAGCGCCGAACAGGAATGAAGCGGATGCTGCTCCTGGCGCGAGTGGGCCAGCTGCTTGAACGGGGGATCTGGATTGTATATGAACATGATAATATATGTACAGAGTATCTGTATTGGCGTTTGGGCTCTCGCGCATCCCGGTCAAGGGCTTATGGGCTGCGCATCGTTTGGCGTTGCGGGATACCAGGTTGTCTTGGGTAGCAAGCATTCACTATGCTCCAGAATGCAAAATGCGATTTGTACCACCCATTCCACTTTCTTATGGTGTCGTGCTTCTGTCGTTGTGATGCAACTTCTCGGTGGGTTTGTTCCTATCGTGTCTTAAGCGATACTGTCGACGTATGCACGCCAATGCATGACGTGCCGGAAGGAATCCTTCGTTGGATTGCCAAGTGCCAACATGATCGCGATCAGCCTACATGATGCGATCCCAATGTCAATGTGGCTGTTCACCGGTTCTGGCATGCTTATCTGCAGCACACCTGAAAATTGAACGGCAACACTTTTCTCACCTACACCCATCAAAACCTCGCCAGCTCTAATCCGTCAAATAATGACTTCAAATAGTCCATCAGAGCAATCTCCGTCAGAAGCCTCCTCATCAAACCCACCTCACACGTTCGACCGCAACACACCCGATCAGCAGGAAATCAGCGCAATCCTTGCCAAATTCAACAAAGACCCACTTGAATTGAGCATCATATCCCTGGGCAAAGACGGCGTTCTGCGAAATCTATCTGCGGATCGTGCCGTTCTCGATGCTGTTGGACTGAGCCCACGGCTGGTGAAAGCGTTTTTGGACCGCGTTCCTCCAGACTACCGCGCGCTCACGCCAGAACTCGAGGATGCTGATGGATCGAAGGCGACGTATGAGGAGATGTGGCACCCGGATCCTGGGCTGCTGCCACGACCTATGGGCGAGGAACAGAAGAAGAAGGCGTTAGCGAGTCTTGAGGAGAATTAGCATCAAAGCGTTCATATGCACGACAGAGACCAGATGAAAATATTTATAGTTGGGAAGAACTCAATAGTCGTGGATTGAGCCCCGAGGTCCACGCAGTAGACCTGTGATCATTAACATTTCCCGTGACCCGTCAAGGTAAAGGGTGTTTGAATGTATGCAAATTACATACTAGAGCGTTAATACGCTTCCAAGGTCTCTATATGGAAGGAGATCACCTGGGTAAGGATCGTGATTGCCCTGGCCGAGTTCCCACGCATGCGAGGCCCCGTTCTGGGGCTGCTAAGCGATGGGGCCATCCAAGGCTGGAAACGTTATCGAACGTATCTACGATCCCTCTGCCTAGTTACTTCCTCCTAGGCCCGCACACCAAAGCTTAGGCCTTAACTTCACTACTGATCGTAGACCTTTGATACCTATCGCAAGGCTTGCGCAGAGTGCGTTGCACGTTGTACACGCACCCGTGGACAAATTCCTTCGCCTGGTGAGGCTCCCGAGGTCTGTGATAAAAAATGGGTGGCGACCTCGGGAAGGCTGAGAGCTGCATAGACAGCAACGACGCGCAGCATGCATGGCTTGCATGGGCGAGGACCCAATGATACCGTATTCAACGTAAGCTAAACGATATTGTGCGTCCAATAACCCAGGCCTCGGGTCTAGTAGGTTCAGAGAGGCTTTCATACGAACTTGCACAAAGCCCGGAAGCCTGGCCAGGGCAGTCGCGTTCGGACAAACGTTCACTGCACAACGGCACATCAGGATCATTCAGAGGATATTGTTCCACCACTATGGCGGTATCGGGCTACATAGGTTCCGCTTGCATACGACTACTTACCACTACCGTCGCTGACGCGAGTCCGATATCGACGCTGCTCTCGCCAGAGGGACTAGCTTACCCAAAATCCTGGACTAATCTCAGAAACGAAGCTCAAAATGGCTGTAGGCTTTGTAGGATTCTGAAGGATTACTTGGATCAGGCAGATGAGAGATCTCGAGTCCGACGTGATCGACTCCAGGCCGCCCCTACCATTGTCTTGTATGCGCCTGAAGAGGAACGAGTCATCCACTTCGTACTAGGTCTGTCCGGAAACCATATGACGATTAGCGCTCCGAACGTCGTCTTTGCAGGCACTGTTCAGTACAGAGCGACAAAAGCTTCGGTAAGGTCGCAGCAGAGGCGCCAGATCAGAGCTAATAAGGTACTCGTAGGCGATCCTGCATCACAGTTCTTGCCACAGGCGACCATCAAGTTGGATCGAGGGGATCGAGCGACTTTCAATGCCATCCGCTCATGGGTCAAAGAGTGTAGCCATCAGCACGATAGTTGCGTGAGCCGCGAATCAGATCTTCCTGCAAGGTTGATAGATCTCTCCTATCTATCGGCCGAGGCCCGATACCTACGACTATACATCCCCAAAGAGAATGAAGGAGGACGCTACGTGGCACTGAGTTACTGTTGGGGCTATTCGCAACCGGTCACCACGAGTGAGAAGAACTTGCAACAGCATTTGCACAAGATCCGATACGACAATCTTCCACAAACACTCCAAGATGCAGTCAAAACGACCAAGGCTTTAGGGATCAAGTATCTCTGGGTCGATGCGTTGTGCATCGTTCAGGATTCGCAGCGCGACAAGCAAACGCAGATGGCAGAGATGGCCAAGATCTACCAAAATGCATTTTTCACAATAGTAGCCGCCTGCTCCACGAGTTCAGCCGAGGGCTTCTTCCAAGTCAGGGATGGTATGCCGCCAGCTCTGGAACTACCAGTAGGTTGTTTAGAGGGAGAGATTGGCAACATTGCTTTGCTGTCATCGTATGAGGGCCTCAGGCACGAACCGCTACATGACAGAGCCTGGACACTGCAAGAGATCATTCTCTCACGACGACTGTTAATTTTTGGAAAAGACTCCGTTGGATGGAAGTGCGAGCGAATGGACCGCGGAATGCATAGTTGGACAGATTGGAATGGGTACTGTGCATCTACGGGCTTGACAACGATTCGCCTTGCACCGGGCGGCAACATCATACGTCCATCACTGAGCATTTACTCGGCCAACGTCAGCTCTTTCAACAACCCTTCATCGTTGGCTGAGACACAGCCGTATATCTTTCGACTTTGGAGAGATGTTGTTAAAGACTATTCGACTCGCTCGATGACAAACGAGGGCGACAAGCTCAACGCCATAGCTGGGATAGTGGCATACTTCCAAGACGTCATGGGGGGTACGTATCTCGCAGGGCTGTGGAAGAAACATCTGTTGCACGAACTATGTTGGCAGGTTCGCGACGCGAGGCGACCAGCAAAGACCAGAGCTCCCTCTTGGTCATGGATGGCCTTGGACGGGCCTGTAGCGTTTCATACAGAGCATTGCGAGTGGTATAGCCCTATGGTCGACGTCCTCTCCTGCCATGTCACCCCTGTCTCTCCAGCCGCGCCATACTCCAGCGTCACCGGTGGAGTCTTGGTATTGGACGGCCATGTCAGCTCAACTCGTCCAAGCGTGTTCGTGAAGCAGCTGTTATCTCCAGAAGACTTCTCCGGTTTCGGCATGGACTGCGATCAATAGATAGATAGAAATGACATCTATATGGGCGTTGCTCGGTGCCTCGCGACCACCGCAGAACGCAGAATTGTGTCGACGGGACGGGAGTTTGTCTGGGGCTTGATTCTTAGGCCGTGGAATGATGAGCATGGCAGGACAGATGTGTTCAAGCGTGTCGGGTGGTTCAACACCGCTATCTGGAATCCAAAGCAGCAGCGCGTAATCACGATTGTTTAGACGTAGAAAATATACCTATATTAAGATTACTATATAGAGTTACTAACTACGTTTTATTACTCTACTCTATATTAACACTTTACTATAATAAAAAATAACTTAATAAAATCTATAAAGAAAATACATCTATAGTTTAGAAATTTAATAATAAGTTATTAGTTTACTTAGAAGTAAAAATATAATAGCTTAGAGAGAAGAAAATAGTACTTTTTATTACTAATCTTATAATAGTAATATTATCTAATATAAATTAAAAGATCTAATCTTTAATAAACCTACAAGTAGTAATAATATTAACTACCTAGTATAGTATCTTAGAAGAAAGATTTAAGCTATAGTAAATTTTATAGAATATTAAATAGAATTAATTAAAATTTAATTAACTTATATAATAGCTAAAGTTAGTAGATTTCTTTATACTATTATTAGTTACCTTCTACTTTAACTAAGTTAAAAAATTATTTAGTTAAACTTACTAATATAATCTTATTACTATAAGCTAAGTATTAAGTATAAGTTAAAATCTATTACTTACTACTTATTATAATCTCTAATTACTTAATTTATTATACTAAGTAAAATTCTATATAGCTTTAAATAAAGCTAAGCTATCTACTATAGCTTTATTACTATAGTATTAAGTATATAGAAGTAGTAGTATTTACTTATTACTTAGCACTTAGCACTTAGTATTTTATATTTAGATTTTTGTATTTAATTAGATAATTATAATATAAGTATAAATTTGTAAATACTAATAATAATAATAATAATAATAGATCTTTTTCTCTTTTCTACTAATACGCTTTACTAATATACTTTTCTATATTAATACTTACTATACTTTTTAATCTCTTTAATTCTTTATTTTTATTCTTTACTATATATTATTAAAGTTACTTATTATAAGTACGCGCGTATATATCTATATTACTAAGCTAATTTAATCTA